TATCACTTAGGACAAGTGATTGGTGGCTATCATAAAGAGAACATAAAGAATACCATGTGTTTTTTTCTCTCCAAAGATTCAATAAAAAAAAAAAATTGTATCTTATGTATTCAGTGTATATATATGTGTTTCTAAAATATTATTAATTTCTAATATATTATATGTTTGCACGTATTAATTTTAACAAAAATAAAATGACGTTTATAACTTCTATATCCGCCCAGACCGGTGCCCTATTTGCCTTTCATTAAAGGAGATTCTGGACCATCTATTTCCTCATTGTCCTTTCACAACGACCATATGGATCCAYCTCTTCGACACCTTCAACATAGCTTTTTTGCTTCCTAATCACATCGATCACTTCATTGTTTAGAGCTTCTCCTCCCTGCTAACTCGACAGCGCCATGTATTATATGGAGCAATGCTATTGGTGTTATTTTGTGGAACATTTGACTAGAGTGCAACAATCAGAATTTTTGTTGATTCATCAAAATCGCTCTTCAGTCAATGAGACGATATAAACATCTTTATATCTCTTCCGTCTTCAAAATCCCTCCACTTTTGTAATTACAATATCATTACCATTTCTCTCAATTGGAGCATTTTTCTCTAAAGCCTTTTTTTTGTGTATGTTTCTCCCGTACTCTAATGGATGGTACATATTTAAAAAAAAATGACGTTTATAACTTAAAATAATATATTTACCAAAAAATGTATCTTTTTAATATAATTCTCCTTTTTAAAATTTTAAAAATAAAAGAAGCAAGGAAGAAACACATAAAGGAAGACATCAGACATGGGTTTTAGTTGAAAGTGGATATAGCAGTGGATATGGTTTGAAGGAGAGCGAGTAAAATGAGGAAGGTAGCAGCCAAGACGGAGATATAAGCCCATGGACTATGGAAATAGTCACTTCTCAGTGTAGCCTTGGATCGGGGCCACCATTTCCTGCAGTGGTCATGTAATAGAGTTACATGACTATTGGTTTTCAACAATAGTCACGTGGGAAAATAAAAGAAGTAATAGAGTTAATATATTTTTACCCTGCAGCTAAAGGACAATGAGCCACATATATAGTTAATATTAGAGACCAGACCAGGTCACTAATGCAAATGTCAGCAAACCAAGTCAAGTCAATCTCTTCCGGATCAACCGACAGCTCAGCAGAAAAGGACTTTTGAAGACCATCAATCGATAAACTATATGTAACGCACTAAGTCCAGGATTCGGACTCATTCGGCCTTGCCCCAGCATTCTCCTATAACTTGGCTGTGGTACCGTCTAGTTCTGAGTTACTTAGAAGAGTGTAAACTATTCCTATAGACTAATAGAGTCCTATCAGTATGCTTTGTGTCCTTACTCACATGCTTCTTAGTAAAGCAACAACGAGGTCACCCAACCAACGATTTCTCCAAGTCAAGTACGCTTAAATTTGGAGTTCTTACGATCGAGTTATCGAAAAAGAAAGGTGCATCTTGTTGGTATAGGTAGTAACTATTCTTTTAAGCTCTTTCTTAACTATGCTTCAATGATTCCTGGATCTCTCTCATTCGGAGGTGGTACCTGTTCATCAATGTACCTCTCCTCTCTACTCGAGTGTCGTACTATAGCTACCCTCATTTTCTCTATTAAATTTCTTGACACAGGCAGCCTATGTTGTACCTTTCAAAGTTACATGTTATTTTTTTTTTGTTCAATGGAATTTAAACATCCAATCTTTAAGAAAATATTTAATGTAGTTGAACTATGGTCAGATTGGTTTAATTACCTTTGTTATTTTCTTCCCTCGAGTATAATGTATTCTTGTGTGTTTAAGTTCAGTCTCGTAATGGATTAATTATTTATTTTATTTTATTATCTTATTGAAATGATACCATTTCATTAAGCAGGTACGTGAGGAACATATTACCATTTCATTGCTCCAAATAATTCCCCTCCTATTTTCCTTCTTAAAGGAAAGAGCTTCCTCGATGAAGTCTTCAATGTGCTCAGAGAGGGAAGGGAAATATTGAAGATACCAAAAATATGGGTCTAAAGATCCACCGTATAGGACAATGAAGAAATAGGTGGTCCAGAGATTTAGAATTGCACTTGCTCAAAATACACCGGCTGGGACTAATGGCGACTGATCGAAGACGATTCTGGAGCTTTTCGTCTGTGTTGAGACCACGGCGGAGGATGCACCAAATGAAGACTTTACATTTTTTAGGGAATATCATCTCATAAAGTGGTAAAAATGGAATCTATTTGTCCGGTTGCAAAGAATGAGAGGATGGATTTATAAGATTTAACAGCGAATAAGTCATTGCTCGAATAACAATAATGAAACACAGTGAATAACAATATTGTTCAATTCTCATACCCTTGGCTGAATCTCTTTGTAGACATATACATGGGGCATTAATGAGGGAGAGGAGCCTAATTGTTTCGTAGGAATTTTAGTTTGATCCGATGAAAATTGGGAATATCTATAAATGGTGTTAAGAAAATTAAAGTTGGCCGGTGATTGATTATTAGTTTTATGTTTTCCTTAACTTGTAATTAATTTTTTATATTATTGTTAACCTAATATTTTAAGTAAGAGAAAAAAGAAAATACTTTTTGTTTTTTTTAAATACTTGATTCCTTAACAATGATGACTATAAATCTTATACTTAATCACACCCTTCAAAAATTGACAATTTATTATCTTTTTTAAAAAATTATTTAGTTTTACATCTTTTTTTAGTTGTCAAACATTTAATAGCTGTAATCCTTATCATCAAGGAGTCAAATATTTTCAAACAAAATTAAGAGACTACTTGAATTTTTTCACCCAAGCAACAAATCTTCGTGGCGGTAATTTTATGAAATACTTTCATTATTGTGGTCCATGGGTGAATTTCTTAAATCTGAAAAAAAAACATTTATTTTTATTCAATTGACTTAATTATTGGATTTTTTTTTAAGAGAAACTTTTCTATTGATAAAGTATGTGAGAAACATACTACAAAAGCAAGAAGCTATATAAAGGCACTCTAATTTAGAGCAATAGTGGAGATATCATAATTACAACGAAAAATGACAATTTAGTTGACCAAGATGGAACAACAATTCTAATTTTGTCCCAAAGCTGAACTATCGATTTAGAATGCTCCCATGAAAGTTCGATTGTTTGTTTCTAGCCATATGTGCCAAAGGATAGCACCAAAAGCATTTGCCCAATAAAATATTGCTAAAATTGAAACTTATTTTGAAAATAATGCTAATTTGAAACTTATTCCAAAAGTAATATTTTTGAAATATTTCAAACCATCAAGTCCTTCCTTGAGGAGAGGTAATGAAGTCTACTTATAAAGACAACCTACTTACATGACATTGCAGGTCGTCTCTTTGTCGTCTCTTGAAGGGATAACGAAGTTCACTTCAAGAGACGATATGCAGCAACGTTACATTTTTTTTAAAGGAAAAACTCGAGAGAAGACATATATCACAAATTTGAAAAAAAAAAATTAATCTAGTTATTTTCTTCCATTTGATTTTGCTTTGTTTCTTGATAGTTGTCTTATTTTCTTCTTTTTATCGAACTAGTCTTAGAATTTATTTCTTACACTTTCTCTTTCATTACATGTTCGGCGTTTAGATAAAATCAAGGTATATTCTTTGTGGAAACAACACTCTACTCGTTATTATATTACTTGTGATGGTTCGTTGCGAAATCAAACAAATATTGATATGGAATCAAAGCATGCAGGAGGTCCCGTATTGAATTTTCAAGCCCATAAGTATTTTCAAGCCCATAAGTGAAAGGGTATATAAATGGCCCTAGGCCCTAACTCAGATGCAGTACCATTCGTTAACAACTAAGTTCTAGGTAACGTGGAACAATCGAAGTGGTTATACAACAAAGACCCCGACAAAGAAATAAGAACATAACAGAATATTTTATTTAGAAAAACTAGCAAAGCAAAGCAAAGGCAGTGGCGAATGCAGTTGACATTTAATCAACAAGTAAAATAAAGGAGCAACAAATGAAAAAGAAAGTAAGAAATGGAGACATGGGTTTCACTTGAAAGTGGATATAGCAGTGAATATGGTCTGAAGGAGAGCGAGTAAAATGAGGAAGGTAGCAGCGACGACGGAGATAGAAGCCCATGGACTATTGAAATAGTCACGTCTCAGTGTAGCCTTGGATCGGTGCCACCATTTCTTGCAGTGATCATGTAAATTTTTGCTCGTACCGTAGTAGTAAAAGTCATCTGGAATGTGAGTATATTTACATAAATTGTTAAACAGTTCGGAAACCTCTTTGTCACTGCCACCAATGTGGTTGATTATGATTTCCTCCTTCACAAGTAAAGCCACGTCTTTCTCTGTGCTTATCAACCCATCCAAGAACTCAATATAATGGGCTACATATCTTTCTCCGGCAGACCCTTGTACGCGGTACTGTTCAAATGCCATCAAGTTTCGTACGTAGATTTCGAAGTCATCGTGGATTTCAAAAGGTGGGATTTGTAGAACCCCATTTTTGAAGCTTATGTCCATCAAGCTTTTGGCTCCTATTTCTTTCTTCACCTTGACCCCAGCCTCGCTGAGCTGAGTTATAGTCGGGGGAAGAAGAAACTCTCTATTTTCAATCTCACTGTTTTGCGAATCCTCCTCTGTGTCAGCTGAGGGGACGTAGTAGAAACTTAATAAATCGACCAAGTGCTTTACTTCTCCTGTACTGGAGACATCATCAGGAAGCTCATACCCTCCTATCAACCCCTTGGATAAAAAATTTCCTGTAAGTTGTACGAAGGAGATGTCATCTTTCATTGTATGGGGTGGAAGTAGGTCAAATAGAGCTTGAAGTACAAAGAAAGGGAGTTGGTTCTCAAGCATTGTCAATTCCTGATAAGGAATACATTAAAAGGTAGAAATAGCACAACAAACATGCAACATAACATCCATCAAGATAATATAAACCTTTTTAGATATTATATCAATATTCATGGGTTCCATTTTAAAATCAATTGCCAATGGGAGGAGTAGCCCATGTCTATTATAAACCAAACCATTGTTAGGTCCATTTTCTTTTCAATGTGGGATCCTTAACATGCCCCATCAAGATCGTGGCTCTTTTGGCTCATCGATCTTGACCAGATCCCATTTTTTGGACCAGATGCTCATTTGAGCGGGGTTCCACCTTAAAACCAATTGGCAATGAGATGAGTAGTCCATGTCTATTACAAACCAAACCATTGTTAGGTCCATTTTCTTTTCAATGTGAGATCCTTAACACTTTATACCCAATGCTCTCATGCATAATACAGAAAAGTTAAAGGGTGTAAAACTCATCTTATCAAATTCTCCCCCACCTAAATCATGCTTATCCTCAATTATATCTTAACGCAACATATTGAAATCTCCTTTCTAATCTCCTTTCATCTTTCTCAATAACCAATAATACAAGTAAATTCAGTCACACATCTATGAGATGAATCAAAATGACAATCAAGAGAATAAGCAATGGTAAGATATAATTTTWAAAAAAAAAAAACTCAAGCATCTCATTAACTCATTGAAATCAAATGCAAAGACTTAATACCCTCACAGACTTTCACTCAAATCTCTCAAAATGTTTTTAGGATGTTTTTACTTTCAAAATCAAAACAAAGCATGTTATTATCATAGGCTTGCAAATGATCAATCAAATCTCCCCACTTAAAGATGAATTGAATGTAAAAATCGAAGGGACTTTAACAATGGTTGTAATGGGGCTTAGGTAGGATGAGATAAAAGGGAATTTAGAGGCTCAAATTCAAGATAAAAAAAGATGATAAGTTGCATGATAATCACATAAGACAATGAACTACTATTCTTTTGAATTATCTGGCCCCATCTTCAAATACTAACGATATTGGAGAAGTGACATCAATTAATTGCTTCTTGAAAAATATTTCTCCAATGTATTCTCTATATAAACGACACAATGTAGTTTCTTTTCATCATCAGAACACCACCCCTTCTTTTTTTCTTCCCTTCTCTTTTTCATTTTTTTTTTCAATTTGTAGCACACCACTTGCATAATTATTGAAAGAACGAATGTGATATCATGCAACATTTTTACCTTTGTCTTGACAATGGTAGAAATATCGAGGATAATGAATGAGAAAGGTTTTAGGTTTAAACATGGCTTGCAATGGTGGCTATCATAAATTTAAGAACAGACAAATTATACTTGTATTGACTTGCGTCTTATCACTTAGTACAAGTGATTGGTGGCTATCATAAAGAGAACATAAAGAATACAATGTGTTTTTTTTTTTCTCTAAAGATTCAATAAAAAAATAATAAAGTTGTATTTTATGTATTCAGTGTATATATATGTGAGCCCTGCTCCGCCCGACTTGGTCTTAGTAGGTTGTCTCTCTCGATTTAGTACGACCATTTGTTTGTCGTTTTATGTGAGCCCTGCTCCGCCCGACTTGGTCTTAGTAGGTTGTCTCTCTCGATTTAGTACGACCATTTGTTTGTCGTTTCCTATCTCATAACAGAAGGTAACGTGAAACAATCTGAGTGGTTATAATACAAATACCATATCAAATAAACAGGAACATGTAGGGTATGTAAATATAATAGAATATTAATTTATTTTTTAAAAAAACTAGTAAAGCAAATTGCAAAGGCAGTGGCAAATGCTGGGTTAATGTTTAACAACTAAAAGAAGCAACAAATTAAATGAAAAAGAAACACAGAAAGGAAGAAATCAGACATGGGTTTTAGTTGAAAGTGGATTTAGCAGTGAATATGGTTTGAAGGAGAGCGAGTAAAATGAGGAAGGTAGCAGCGAAGACGGAGATATAAGCCCATGGACTATGGAAATAGTCCCGTCTCAGTGTAGCCTTCGATCGGGGCCACCATTTCCTGCAGTGGTCATGTAAATTTTTGCTCGTCGCGTAGAAATAAAACTGAAATGGAATTGGGGTATTTTTACATAAATTGTTGAACAGTTCCGAAACTTCTTTGTTACTGCCACCAATGTGGTTGATTATGATTCCCTCCTTCACAAGTAAAGCCACGTCTTCCGCTGTGCTTATCAACCCATCCAAGAACTCAATATAATGGATTACATATCTGTCGTCGTCAGGCTCTCGTACACAGTATTGTTCGAATGCCATCAAATTTCGTACATAGATTTCGAAGTCATCGTGAATTTCAAAAGGTGGGATTTGTAGAACACCTCTTTTGAAGCTTATGTCCAACAAGCTTCTGGCTCCTATTGCTTTTTTTACTTTGACCCCAGCCTCGCACAGCTTAGTTATAGTTGGGGGAAGAAGAAAGATTCTATTTTTAATCTCTTTGTTTTGCCTATACTCCTCTGTATCAGGTGAGGGGACGTAGTAGAAGCCTAATAAATCCACCAAGTGGTTTACTTCTTCTGTACTGGAGACACCACAAGGAAGATTATACCCTCTTATCAACCCATTGGACAAAAACTTTCCCGTAAGCTGTATAAAGGAGATGTTGGCTTTGTTTTTATGTGGTGGAAATAGGTCAAATAGAGCTTGTAGCACAAAGAAAGGAAGTTGGTTCTCAAGCATTGTCAATTCCTGATATAAATCGTGAAGTATAACTTTGGCAAATAAAAGATCAAATCCTTCTCGAGTTTCAAAGCATTCAAAATTCAATATTATCATAAGCTCCACTATGAAACAGGCGTCTATGAGCATCATTCTGACAAAGTCATCGCTGGTCATGTTTATGGGTTCTGCATAGAGCCTTCGGGCTTTTATCTCCCATTGTCGAGCAATTGCAACCACGTACTTAACATCCCGTTCTATTCGGATTAGATAATTACGGAAACAATGGAGTTTAGACTGCTGTGTAGCCAGCAAATCGTTTCGACCATGGTGAAAAGGGCCGATTGCAATGACTTTAGGCGTATAAGCAGTAGATTTCATGTCGAATAGCCGTTTGGGAACCCTGTAGATGCACCATTCTGCAGCGGCGATGGGAGGCTGTTCCTCCAGAAGTTTTATGATGGATAACTCAAGACTCAGATCATCCTCTTCCGATTGCTGATCAGCCACCAAATCCACAGAGTACTTAGTTGGCCAGGGCGTCTCATAGAAAGCTTTACAATAGTCCTGTTGATGCCTTAAGGCGTCACCCTTGTTAGCAGCCAAAGCAAAGCACTCCATTTGAATCGTAACAATCACCTCACGACCTCACGACCTCTTGGTTAGAGATATATGTCAATTATCGTTGAGTTATGCTCGTTTTGACAATGACTAAGAAACACATGTTAGTTAATATGCTCCTGTTGTTTAGTTGGCCGCCCACTAACACTATGAATAATACATAAAATGCCAAGAAAATGAGAAGAGAAAATCAAACAGTTAAAAAAAACATTAAAAATGAGGTTGTGGCGAACCTGAGCTTAAATCAATTGTTATTGGCACATAACTCTACCCAAGAATTCGTGAGTTCGAATCCCTCCACCCTGTACTTTAAAAAAAGAAAGTTTGGTTAGGTGAAAAAAATTCGTTACTTTTGCCTTCCAATACAGACAATCACCTCCACAGAAACATCCCACTTAAAAGTGATCTCAACAACTTCATATCTCTCCATCTCTTTAGATATCCTATAAATTATTAAATTTATCCTAACCCATCAACTTAAGTTTTGATTTAATCATGTTTAAGTTTAAGAGTTATATTATTCTTTTTGAAGGGATTGACTACCAAAAGGAAAAGCTAAATGAACTTAAAAGATAAAAGATGAAGAAATAAGAAGTGAACCAAATAAGTACCGTATAGCCTTGCCTGCAAATTGAAGGGATCGGAGGAGATGTTGCAGAAAATATGAAAAAAGTGGGAAGGGAAGAAAGGGGGAGTCAGTATTGTGAGAAGAAGATGAAGTAAAAGAGGGTATTGGAAGAAGTAAAAAACCAAGCTTCTTATCACAAGTACGAGTGATGGGTTGGTACCATAAAGAGAGTTAAATCAATTTTGTATTTGTCAAAATAATTTTTTCTATTCATCATGTTTGGCAAATTAAAACGTTGGTTGTGGGCGTATTTACGAGCGATTTTGAAAAAAAAGAGAATTAAATATAATTGATTTTCTAAAATCATCATCCAAGTGATATATACTTTAAAAATAAATTTAAAGTGATTTTAAACTTTACTAAAATCAATTTTTGAATTTGCCAAACATGATCAGTAGAAATGAAGTGATTTTAACCATGGCAAAAGTGATTTGACCATGCCAAAATCCCTCCCAAACATACAATTTATGAAAGTTTAAGGGGCGGCTTGTTATTCGAGAATATAGATGCCCGACATCTATGCACATGTCTAAATTTCAGATACTCGAAATTTTATATGTCTGACGTCTTTAAATAACCACGTTGTTTTGTATGAAAATTTGTAAGGATATACGATAATATTTGGATAGTCACATTTGTTCCGTAGAATTTATTCTGAAAATGTGTTAAGTTTATCGAATGTTTCTCACATACTCAATGAATCGATGGTTATATTTAAAAAAAAAGAATAATAAATTTTAGCGTGTGAATTAATATTCTAGTTCATTTACTAAATTTTTAGCTAAATATATGTTTGAGTTTGGTTCCTAATATTTGGATTTTTTAAATTTTGTTTCCATTTAAAAAGGAAAAAAACAAAAGATGAGAGAAGAAAAAGGAAGAGTAATTATAAACAATGAATGGGTGGGTCATGGCTTTCGTAAATTTGGAGCAGAGAAATTACTTTTGGGTTGGTTTTAAACAATAGTCAGGTGGGAGAATAAAAGTTAGAAGTAATATAGAGTTAATATAGTTTTACCCTACAGCTACAGGACAATGAACCAAATATAGAGTAAATACTAATAGTAGAGACCAGACCAGGTCACTAATGCAAATTTCAGCAAACCAAACCAAATCAAATCAATTTCTTACAGAAATGTAAGACAGCTCAGCAAATAAAGACCTTTGAAGAGCATCAATTGACAAACTTTCTTTCTTAAATGGCTTGATAGTAGCCTATGTTATACCTTTCAAAATTAGACTTTATTTATTTATTTTAGTTCAACATAATTCCGACAATTGACAAATGAAATCGGCTCTGGTCATTGTTACTTTCAGCCTTGTAATGGATTCAACCATAGTGAATAACAATATTGTTCAATATTTTCTCATACTCTTGGCTGAATCTCATGGTAGATATATGGGCATTAGTGAGAAAAAAAAATAATGTTAACTAAATAAGAAATATTGGCAAAAATTCATGGTCACGTGGAACAATCTGAGTGGTTATACAACAAAGACCATAACAAAGAAATAAGAACATAAGAGAATATTATATTTTAGAAAAACAATGAAAGCAAAGGCAGTGGCGAATGCAGGGTTGACATTTGTTTAACAAGTAAAATAAAGGAGCAACAAATGTAAAATAATCTAATTAGAAACGGAGACATGGGTTTCACTTGAAAGTGGATATCGCAGTGAATATTGTTTGTAAGAGAGTGAGGATAATGATGTAGGTAGCAGCGACGATGGAGATAAAAGCCCATGGACTATTGAAATAGTCACGTTTCAATGTAGCCTTGGATCGGGGCCACCATTTCTTACAGTGATCATGTAAAGGTTTGGTGATATGGTTTAAGTAGTGGACACCACCCGGAATGGAGACGTATTTACCGAGATCATTAAACAGTCTTGAAACTTCTTTATCACTACCGCCAATACTATTGATTATGATTCCCGCCTCCACAAGTAATCTCACGTCTTTCTCTGTGCTTATCATATAATCCAGAAATAAAGCATATTGGATTGTATACCTGTGGTAATTTGCTGCGGGATAATGCTCAAACGCCATCAGGTTTCGCACGATGGTTTCAAAGTGATCATCAATGTCTAAAGGTGGGATTTCCAAAACCCCATTTTTGAAGCTTATGTCCATCAGACATGTGGCTTCTTTTCCTTTCTTGATGGTGACACCAGCCTCGCAAAGCTCGGTTACACATGGAGTAACCAAATACTCGTCCTTATCATGCTGCTGCTTCGTATCACACGGGGGCAAGAAGTATAAGCTTAAGAGATCGACCAAGTGCTTTACATTTGGTGGGGATACATGACAAGGAATCTCATGATTGTTCATCGACCTACTGAAAAACGTTTCTATAAGTTGTATAAGGGAGTTGTTTTTTATTTCATGATCTTTCGGTATTAGGTCATATAGACCTTGAAGAACAAAGAAAGGAAGCTGATTTTCAAGCATTGTCATGTCTCCATATATATCAGAACTCATTGCTTCGTAGAATGAAGAATCGAACCCGTTTTCATCAGTTTCATAGTTGTTATAATCTAGTATCAGAAACWTCACTACGAAACAACCATCTAGAAGCAGCATTGTAACAAATTTGTCATTATTCATTTTGATGGGTTCTCCATAACAACTGCGGGCTCTATTCTCCCAATTCTGAGTGATTTTCACGACGGCCTCAACTGTCATCTTTACACGATGGAGATAGCTATCGAGAGCTTGAAGCTTATGTTGTTGTGTGACAATCAAATTGGATTGATTACTATGGTGAAAAGGGCCAATGGAAATCACTTGAGGTGTATAGGCTTTACGATTCATGTTGAGTAGCCGTTTGGGAACCCGATAGATGCTGCATTCTGGATCAATAGGAGGCGGCGGCAGTCGTTTGCACATTTCTTCGATGGATATCACAACATGACGACAATGTTGTTCATCAACCTCATTATTATTTGCTATATTAACTGAAGATCCTGTCATTCTGTCGATGTCGATGCATTCAAATGTGATCCCACTCTGTTCCATCTTAAAGTCGTACGCAAATTGTTAAGGCACCAAAGTGATCGTTTCTTAAATATTGAAAAAAAGGAAGCTAAATGAATTTAAGAAAGAGAGAAAAAACTAGTGAAATGAAGAGAGAATAGGTACCTTAATTACTCTCTTGCCTGCAAATTGAAGGGAGGGGACGTTGCAGAGAAAGATGAAAAAAGAGGGAACAACAAAGGGAGAGTCAGTCGTGGGAAGATGGAGTGAAAGGAGGCAGTCCAGGCTTCCCTCTTTCTCTCTGAATCCAAACAGATGTATCCTTTGTTGCCAAGCAGAAGAAACTTTGGACCTTTTATTTTTACATTGCCCATACACTGTGGTTATCTGGAATTTTATACTGGATTCTTTCAACCTCTCTCTCTCCCCATTAAACAATCCTCGGAACGTTCCGACTGATCAGAAAGTAATGTTGTGGGCTCGCTTCTGTGGTCTACTTGGTTGGAAAACAACAATAGAATTTTTGCTAATTCCTTTGAATCAGTCTTTCATATTTGGGAGGATGTAAAAGTCTTTAACACATCAACATGGTCCTTGAAATCAAACCTCTATGGTAACCAACTATGATATCTCCACCATTTTCCTGAATTGGAGTGGCATCCCTCTTGTATGGTTCTGGTATCTAAAATAAAAAAGAAGCTATTGGGACTAGAGGAAATAAAAAAGCAATCTTATTATTCACTTGGTACAACTTAGGTGTGGCTACCAAAAACTTATGATAAAATTACTTGTGCTTGTTTTCAACAGTGGGAGGATAAAAATTTTCAACGAATTAATATAGATGATATTTTATACCCTGGAATTAAAGGTCAAAGAGCTAAAAAGTTTATTAACATGGTAGGTACGTCGTACTTAGAGTTAATATAATTTTACCCTACAACTAAAGGACAATGAGCCAAATATATAGTTAATATTAGAGACCAGACCAGGTTACTGATGCAAATGTAAGCAAATCAAGTCAAGTCAATCTCTTCGGACCAACCAACAGCTACTGTCACTTTCTCTCTTAAATTGCTTGCCACAGCCAACCTATATATGTCATACCAATTCAAAAGGTTTGACGAGGTTATTTATTATTATTATTTTTTAATTCAACGGAATTCGAACATTCAATCATAAAGATAAATGTATAATTTAGTTGGTCGATAGTCAAATTGGCTTAATTAGCCTTTATTACTTTCTTCCCTCGAGTATAATGTATTCTTTGGACCATATCTTCCTTCATTGCCCTTGCAAAACCGGTCTTTTGGAATAGACTATTGAATCCTTCCACACCAGATTTGTTCTCCCAAATCAAGTTGATCAATTCAACATTGAAAGTCTTTCCTTCCCGCTTAATTACAAACCAGAAAAACATTTTATGGAGCAATGTTATTGGCTCCACTCTTTGGCACACTTTGCTAGAGCAAAACAATAGAACATTCTCTGATTTATAAAAATCGCTTTGGGAGGATATTACGGTTACTGTTAATCTTCTCTCTTGTGTAACTATGATTTCTCTACAATTTCTCTTAATTGGAGTGAATAACAATATTGTTCAATTCTAAATACTCTTGGCTGAATCTCTTTGTAGACATATATATGGGGCATTGACGAGGGAGAGGAGTCTAATTGTTTGGAAGGAACTTCAGTTTGATCAGATGAAAATTGGGCATTATAACTATATGTAACTGTGTGAAGAAAACTTAAAGTTGGCCCGTCATAAATGATTAGCTATGTTTCCTTACCTTGTAATTAATTCTTAATCAAAAAGAAAAGAAAAACTTGTAGTTAATTTTTAATATTTGTTTAACCTTATATTGTAGGTAAAAAGAAGTAATTCAGACAACGCACTCTACTGGAATTTGTTCACCCAAACAAAAAATTTCATGGGTGGTTATTTTAGGAAATTCTTTTATTGTTATAGTAATGGCTGAATTTTTTAAATTTGAAATTAAAAATTTTATTTATGTTTATTTAATGGACTTAGTTATTTAGTACTATAAAGTTTAAGGAAATTTATAGTTAAAAAATATTTATTTCAGACCACGGGATAATCATAGTGATTTTCCTAATGTAAAATATATTTTCATGGTACACATCTCATATATTATTTAAGATTGTTGTGACTTGGTTGACCCAAAATATGGGCTCGTCAATCAACTTGAGCATAATTCAACTGATTTAGACAACTATTTCTAACCAAATTATTGTGAGTTTGAATCCTCACTTGACAACTTGTCACTTGTTGTACTTTGTGACTCTCTTTGATGGAAAACTAGTTGCTCCAAATTTGTCAAGTCAGCCAACTCAATCTAATATTATTTGTCATATCATTTTTTACATTATCTAGAAACAAGGATTAGTGGATATTTGTATTCACTCCACAGCAAGCATAGGATTGAGAATTCAGACTACTAATGGTATAATGAGCTCTTGAATTATTTAAAATTATTTTCCAAACTTGGAAAACTAAAAGCATTTTTTCTTATGAAAATTCAAATACCAAATAGACAACTGTCCACCGAGCATTATTGTGTACTCAAAACAATAATACTTCAGAGTCTCTCCTACGTGACTATTATTGTTGAAAACAAGCACCACTAACTAATTGACAGTGTACTTTATACACCACATTTCATGATATTCAAGTGAAAATTATTTAACAATTTTCGGTCATTTATGACTTATTTATATGTGTTGGGAAATTAACTATACTGTATAATTTCCCCTTCCACAGAAAATATCCAAACACAACCACAATATGACAATATATAGAGAAAAGCACCGAAAACGACACAAGCAATTTATACTGGTTCACCCCAACTATGGGCTACGTTCAGTCTTCCTTAACAACGAGTTCTACTATGATTTTGGGATAAATACAATGGACCTCACAAACGCTCTACAAAGCACTCTCTAGATGCCACAACAATGACCAACTAGCTTCTAAGCACTACGCCAATAGATACTTAGAAATACAAAACGAAAAACCTCACTAACCTCAAAAGAACACGCTGCCGACAACGCTCTACAAATCAAGTTCTCTTTTCTTCCTCTGCCAACCAAAACACTGCCGCCACCTTACAATTTGTGCACCAACACAAACTAGCCGTCACCCTTT